TGGTCTGTGTGAGTGGGTTTCCTGTAGATCTTTTCTACTGATGAAGCCTCTTGGATAAGAGTGGGATTGTCTTCAAGAAACTCAAGCAAGTCCAGTTGCTACCATCAATCTACGAGAATTTCCCACCTGTTATGTGCAGAAACAGAATAGTACTGAATGTATTGATTGCATCAGATCATAATTAGTTTGCAGACAGTGAAGGATTCAGTCGACACTCCAGCTCTGTAGCAATCAACTGAGCCACTGTGGTTGACAAAGATTCAGCTGTGAGAAGAAAAGCATTCCCACATAATCTAATCAGAAAGTTTAACCATCCAAACGAGCTATTTTGATTCAAACGAAGCTCTGTAGCCCGATACATAACAACAATTAGCAGAACAGACACCACAATGATAGTTACAGCCCAGGAAAGGGGAACAAAAGATTACAGAACAAACTTTGGTTAACTGAAGTGACTGTGCTGAATGAGACGGGTTCTATTGTGATACCATCCGACCACACAGTTCTATGTGGTTCCTGCTTTGTGACAGTCGCTTGTGTGCTGTAAAGAAGACCTGGTTGATTCAATCCAATGCTCACATGCACGCATTCCTGCAGCGCTGTAACCTGATTCCCTCATGACAGCGACTGTTAATGAATGATAAGGTACCACAGTCATGCATTGATCGTCCTCTTCAATTTCAGGCTGTGACCAATCAGCCGGAGGTGATGGAGGACGTTTCTCGGAGGTCAAAATTAGCCTTCTGACAGACTGTTGTGCTGCTTTGGTCTCCACTGCACCAGCACCTGTTGTGTTCAGCCTCATCTGGACACCTGTGATCCACACACACACAATCACAGATGTTACATTCAGCACAGTACGATGTGAACACGTACAAGCTGAGCAGTCATCACTACAAAGACACACACCAAGGCTTCTTCTGTGTATCAGTCTCTATTGTGGCCAAAGTCGTGATCACAGGAAGACTGGACTCCATGCACAAACCATACATCACACTGACAAACCACATCTGGCCTTTTAAACATAATGCAGCTGCTCACTTACAGAAAACAAAAACAAGAGAAAAAAACTACATTTGTTCAGGTTTTTATGGAGTGTACAGACATGCACAGTAACTACAAGCAATAAAATAAACAATAAATGTTTTAAATCAAAGCAGTGTTTACCTATAGGATCATCAGCCTGCACGAATGTTGAATCCAAGTGATATCTATTATTGTTTTTTTTTCTTGTGTTGTAATGTTTTCTCTGTAGAAATTAGCGTGTTTCTCTAGCTCGGATGCAGCCTAACTTTGTGTCGCCAAGCAATGTCCCATCCACACCACTATCTGATTAGTTACATGTCAAGAATAAATGATTTAAAAAAAGCTCTCTTTTAATTAATTACAAATGTAAATATAAATAAAATGGTCTCATTTGGTCTCAACAAATGTTTATTAGTGTCAGATATATAATATCGGCACCCTTGATTACTAATTATTGATAATGGAACTCCTATTTAACTAATTTCTTCACTTTTGCTTATATTTGTTTGATTTTAGAAGCCATATTGTGCAGTTTTCTTCTAAAACTCCAACTGGACGACAGACAAATATTGAACACAGAGGTTTCATAGCACTGAAAAGCAATTAGAGCAAGATTAGACAGGGTTAGAAACGACTGAGGTGAAAAGAAGAGGTAACACACATTTTGTATGGGGGCTTTGCTACAGGAGCGTTGATTGGTGCGTATTGCGTAACGACGAGCGCGCTTACGTCACATTGCGTGCTACGCAGACACGTTTCTGCTGCAGGTTCCAAAACACTGGGCCAAGCTGACTCTAAAAACGACTCTAGAGAGGAAAATTACTGCAACACTAATGTTTTCATGTCAACACTGCTGGAGCACACAGACAGCTAGCTGTTGTTAGCTAACATCAGCTCAGGCAGTCAGTTAAATGGAGAAAACAACGTCTTTTTAAACATTTGCCAGCAAGTTAAAGTGAAGTACGTACACACTGAAGCCTAGTTGGAGTCGCTCAGTAAATGGATGGAACCGCGTCAGATTTAAGAATAAACTTTTTAGCAAAACCCATAAACATTTAAAAGAAATTCTCTAACATCCATTTCTGCTTCAGCACAGGATTCCTGAGCAGATGGTGGTTGGAAGCTCCAGAATCTGATTTGCATCCAAAACAGCAAAGTCTGACAAATTTACAATGGTGTCCAAAGTCTGGTTTTAAACGATCACTCAAACTGTTTTTTTTTTCTGTCTGCTTGAAGTTTTGAAATTCTTTATCTACACTTGTGCAATGTGCAGGTACACAGGTGTTTGTATACTGAGCCATGGTCCTTATATCAGCAACAGAGGATCAACATATCAATTCATTGTCATGTTATCAATGTGCTGTTCTGATAGTTGCAGCCACTGGGTTTCCAAGGTCTTCATCGGTAATGCTAATTTATATGTAATGTAGTAAGTTTAACCTGCGGATGGTTGCTTTCTGTTAAATAGAAATGTTCCAACATATACAGTCTTCAGAAAACATCACAGAAACACATTATCAAGGTAGAAAGGGTAGAAAAGTTTGTCAACTTATGCAAGGTATTAAAATGACATCAACATGACTAACTTTCAAAAAGATATTTACTGTATTTTGGCACTGTTATCACAACTACAATTCTAGATTTATATTTTTATATCAGAAGGAATACACACACACTTATTCACATAGGTGAGAGAGATCACTGCAACTGGGTCAGATAAACCCACCACGGGAGGCGTAAACACTCCTCCTTCCTCCTGCTCTCTGTTAACTGTAGGTAACAAACACCCATTAGGAGCAGACTAGACCAATTCCTCCCTTCTGTGTTCTGGATGTCCACTGCTAACAAAGTTACTGAACAAATTAAACACCATATACACTTTCACTGCAAAAAAAAAAAAGCTTAAATTAGATTATACTCAGGGCCCGAGTCGTACCTCCAGAAAAAGCCATGTAATCACTGGCTTTAATAATTTTTTTTTTTGGATTATAATCTTAAATTATCTACCTGAACCCTCCCCTTCTGAAACCATAAACACACCCAAACATCGCCCCATACACTCTGGCACACCCTTGTACAGGTTGTTGAAATTTTGTTTTAAGTTTTTGCAATTTTCTTTTTTTTTATTTGTTTATGAAAATAACACAGCGTTTCTTTAATGTGAAAACAATATTGATCCCACTTTTTGTTGCGAGGTTATAGAAAATTAATCTTTATTATTTCACTTCGGTTTTTTTTTATTCATGTTCCCCCCCAATAAAATGTGGCCGGTGGAGCTCTCAGCCAATCAGAGGGGGCGCTGCGGATCACGTGACGGCGAGAGGGCAGGAGGGGCACGCGCAGGGTTTCTTCACACTTTTTGTAAACAACATGGCGATTCACGGACTGGCCCTGCTAGCCGACTGACCGAACACCGTGCTGTCACGTCTCCAGCCCCGCTCTCTCGTAAGCGCCGTGCGTCGCAGCGAGCGGAAGCTGTAGCTCCGGCAAACTGTCAAGTTCGCACCGAGACGACGACGAGCCGGACCGGGGAGCTGTCAGGAAGGACCATTTGACAGTCTGACGGTAGCTAATGTTGTCGTTAGGTCGTTAGCATTTTTTTTTTTTGTAGCTAGCTGAACAAAACCAGCCGCTGCATCTTAAACGTGATGAGCTAGCGGACGTGCCGGTGGATTTAATCGACAGAGTGTATGGTTGGTTTGTGTCGGAAAAGTCAAAGTAAAGCGGCTCCAGCGACTAAACTTGTTCCAGTTTAGCTGCTCCAACGTTATCTCCTGCAGCCATTATGACCTAACGTCTGTTTTCCTGTTTCCTTGTGTTTGACTTCACCTGACTCACTCAGGTGAAGCTGATATTTCATATCTCACTACCCTCCCCGGCAGGCCCTTTTCAGTCTATGGGCTCTCAGTCCAGTTCTGGGATGTCTGGTGGAAGGGGTTCTTCCAGTGGCAACCCAGCTGAGCAGCCTGAAGGAGCAGAACCGAACCAGAGCAGCAGCAGCAGCAGCAGCAGCAGCCGAGGCCGCAGGACGGCTGACAGGCAGCAGGGAGACAGACAGTCGGCATCAGAGGAGGACGTTGACTTAGCTGAAGTACTGGCTTACCTACTGAGGAGGTACACTGGGGGAATTTTCTACTGTGAAATGCTGTCACTGATGCTAGCACTGGAAATAGCACACGCACCCAGCACCTCTGGCTCGTTATTGATGGCTTTAACTCATAGGACAACTACATCTGAACGTCTGAAATAGTATTTTTTGTGTGTGTCACTGCTAATTTCTGTAAAGAGAGCTGAGTTACTGAAAGGTTGATTTGGTGAAAGTGTGAAATCACTAACAGATGTTGCAATGCATAGAAAAACAGCCACACCTATGTGATGTAGGTCAATATTCCTGCAATGTGCTCCATATTATCTTATCTCACTCACACATATACATTTAGAGTAAGGGTGACGGTGCACAAAACATGCACATAGCATCAATCTGTCGCTCTTCATGTCTTGAACTGATTATATTTAATTTAGATTTGTAGGGTAGATATTTACAGTACGAGGTGTGTCAGAAAAGTTCCAGGACTGGTGTCACTAAAGATATATTTCAACTACAAAGTACAAGTTTCTCATTCGAAGTAATCCCAGCACGTCTACAAAGAGATGCTGCGTCGTTTGCTTTGTTCAGAAGAGGCACAGTTGTGGCAGGACCAGTGGAGGCTGCTTCACCATGACAACCTGCTCACAGCGCCCTGAGCATCCCACAGCTCCTGGCTGAGAAGAACATCTCCATGCTGGAGCAACCTCCCTACTCACCCCACCTGGCTCCGTGGGGTTGTTTCCTCTTACCCAAGCTCAAGGGGGTCATCAAGGGGACCCATTTAGGGGATGTGGACGACATCAAGACGGCTGTGAAAACTTGTAGTTTGGATTTGAAATATATCTTTTGTGACACCAGTCCTGGAACCTTCCTGACACACTTCGTATGAAATCATTGAAAGAGGTAACACTTGTCAGATATAAGCTGATTTGTATTTGGACACTCGTCAGATGGTACAAACCAGACCTAGAAATTGGGCTTTACATCTTCTCTAAGGGAGCAAATAACTAAAGCATTGCCTTGCTTCCCGCTGCTGCTATTTTGGTTTAATTTAAATGCACATGCAGAGGCTGGGAAGTATTTTTTTAATATTTCCTGTAATGGTTTTTGGTAGTGATCCATGACAGTGACAGAGCCCGTTGTAGCAGCACAGCAGAGGAGTCAGAACTAGAAAGAACCAGGATCTGAAAGAGTTGAAATGAATACGAAGTGCTTGCTTTTTTTCACTTCAGTTAACATTCAGATACCCTCAAGCGAGCCACTGATCTCCCATCTGTTAAAGTGGAGCTGCTCGGTGGTAAAACAGTCTCGCTGTACCAAAGTAGCTGGCGTGCAGGCTGGCTGGTGTCTTTCCATTTGACTGTAGGGCTGCAACTGGATCACTTAGCGCTCGCCGTCTTTGTTGCCCGTTGGTCCTTTAAATTCTTTTCTAGGTGCATTTTTTGCTGATTCCTTTGCTCACGTGCCATGACTCCCATACGATTGGCTGTCGAACTGATGTGGTGTTTGCGTGTGCAGGGGCCAGGTGAGACTGGTCCACGGCAGCGGAGCCACGGGGCTGCAGCTGGTCCAGTCGTACTCTGACTCTGACGAGGACAGTGATGGAGCGTGGGAGGGACGGCTGGGCGACCGCTACAATCCACCAGGTAACCTCTCGTACGCGCTGCTGGCTGTTCAGGCCGTGGATTTCAGGAAATAAATACTTTGCTTTCTTGGCAGAGCTCTCAGCTAAATGCGTTTATCTTGATGTTTATACGGTTTGGAAAGCTAGACTGTTTGTTAGAGCAGAAACACTATCTTGCAGTATTAAATGTCATCGTTTTAGGACGGTGTGTTGCTCGCTGTTTGCTTTTGAGGTAGCTGGAATCCACCCAGTAACAGAAACGGGATGAATGATGATATAAATTGTGTAAGAGTAATGTTATTGTCTTGTATTTTAAGATTTTAAGGAAATGTTATTTATGGAAATGGATAATTAAGTAGACAGTACTGAGAAATGATTAGCCATTAAGTAAGCATGAACAACAAATCAGGTCATCTTTAAAGCTTTTAAAATCTAATTTACAGCTTACGTTTTTTTTTACTGAACCAGCGAGGACTGAGTCTTGTGTTTTTCCACCTTTTTAGATTTCTCCTTTCCCTCTCTCTGCTATAATTTGATATCAGTGAAACATCAGCTAAACACAATAGCGTGCCAAGGGTCAGAGACACACTACAGTGTGACAGTTGTTATAAAGTTTAGCAGCTCGTTCTCACAAATATGTCGGATCATTGAATCAGAATGTTCTTTGTGTAGCGAGCTCTAAAAGTTTGTTGTCAAATATGATCTCACACTGAGTCTTGTTCCTCGTGTTATTTTTCTAGTGGACACCCAACCCGACACGCACGAAGTGGATCGGAGTGAGATCCGAACTCAGATCCTGCTGGCCACCGCCTCCTCTGCCCTGAAAGGCCGCTACAGTTTCACCCACATGCTAACAGAGGTCAGACTACACAATGAAAAGCAGCCGTGTTCGACAGCTAACATACGTGATTTTATTTATCTGTTTCATTCATAGCTGTGGTGTAACACAAGATCATTGTTTCAATTCATTTTGTCCAAATATTTAAAAAGAAAATCATCACTTTTTTGTTTGAGTCGACCAGTTTAATTACCACTAAACGTTGATGAATCTTTCTATGTGCAGAGGGAACAGGGCAGATGTAGAGGTTCCAGTTTTTCCCACGGAGAGTGCAGTCGTATCCGCACACAGTGAGTAGCTTTACATTTTATCCACCAAATTATCACTAGAGGACACAGAAAGACTCACATTAGTCTGATCAGTTGGTTTAATTACAAAAAAAAAATCTTGATTGAGCATAAACTCCCGTTGAATTTTGTGTGAGTCATCGGTGTGTAGATCATGTGAAAATGTACTATCCACTAGAGATGGAGAGGGACTATATATTAAGATACTGACCCTTGTGGTCCTTTTGCAGCTTCCTGCCAAACTATGTGTCCCACAAGGATACATACCAGCAGAAAGCCTTCTGTGGAGTGTACAGCGAGGATGGCCACATGTTCCTCTCCGCCTGCCAAGGTAAATAACTTGAGATCCAACGCGAGAACCCAGAGTAGCCGAATCAGATCTGACGATAATTCTACTGCTGACGCCACCAGATCACCGCGGCCATTCATGCAGCGTCGTGGTCGGGCACAGACGACCGTTGTTTGACATTTGACATCTTTTGAGGCAACATAAATCATGTGATGTCAAAATAGCAGAAAGCTAACTGAAAATAGCAGTTGTTCAATTTGCGACTATTTCCTGATTTACTGTGTGACTTCTGCTTTAATAAAGTAGCTGCTTTGTGAGCAAACAATGGAGGCGAGGGACGACTGGTCTGTCTGCCACCTGCCTCCCTGTACCCTGATTACAGTATTTTATTCTCATCGCTCTGATGATGAGCTGCTGTAGGAGCCAGATACCAGCGTGAGGGTTTAAAGCTGGGGTGGGCAGTACTTTTGGCAATCACTGATCAAAAATTCAATAACAACCTTTTAACTCAAATGGTTTGAGAGGAAGCTAGATCTCTGCTTAAATTTCTAAATGTAGGTTAGTTTGTGTAGGTGGATTTGCATGCTGCTGATGTATGTTGCACATGTGTATGAATGCATTCAGCTCATCCAGTGGGACGGGGTTAGGACAGAAAGCTGACAGGGGAGAGCTGCAGGAGGTGTTTTGTAGTGCTTTCTCCAGATTTCTGCCTACCACAGCTTTAATTGTGTCCCTAAATGAGTGACCAGTAGACGGACTAACTCCCTCTCAGCTTGTAGTTCCAGTCTTGACAATGAAGAAAATTAGAATTTGTAAGAGCCACACTTGAGTCCCTTCAAAATAAGTGCATCTTTTATTGACAGAAGTGTTTTGTTTTTTTCTTATGTTGCTTGCTGCAGACCAGAACATCCGCTTGTATGACACCACCAGGGGACGCTTTCACCTGCGGCGAACAGTGAAGGCCCGCGACGTGGGCTGGAGTGTATTGGACGTCTGCTTCACCCCAGATGCTCACCACGTGCTCTACTCCAGCTGGTCTGACTACAGTAAGGCTGGGGGGCCTGTGCGCGATGAAACGAGACAACAGAACAGCCAGTCATAGTGTTTCTGGATGTTTGAACGAATGCCGAACACACGCAGCCATTCGTTTCTTTCTTAGTGTAATCGACTTGTTTCTTAGACTCCTAACAAACTGCACCTTGCTTCTCTTGTAACCCAACAGAACTGCATTCGTATGCGTCTCAGCTGAGCTCTATGTACGTTTGTTATGCGCAGATGAACAGAGCTTGGAGAAAAAAACAGCAGTTATTTCACTAAACATCTGTCTGTAGTTATTGCGACCGTGAACCAAATGTTTCAAGAATTCGATTTCTGTTTTTTTCACGCTGAAAAAAGTATAGACGTAATAGATAGCACCTGGTGTAGTCGGAGCATCCTGGGACACAAGGTCGTCTAGGACTGCTTCTAATTTCTTGAAATTACCTTTTTTTTTTTTAATGTTTGTGTTGTATACACCGATCAGCCACAGCATTTAAACCACCTGCCTGATATCGTGTAGTTTCCTCTTGTGCTGCCAAAACACACGCCAGCAGGCAATTGACACAAGACCTCCGGGGTCGTCCTCCGGCGTCTGGCACGTGGATGCTAGCGACACATCCTTCGTGTCCTGTGGGTTGCAGGCCTTCGTGGACTGGGCTCAGACTGGGATCTGGGGAGTTTGGAGGCTGGATCAACACCTTGGTCTCAGCAGTTTTAGCAGCGAGACAAGGGCACGCTGTCCCGTCATTAACATAGCAGGTGCACTTTTCGACTCTAACGATGTTTAAGTGACGTCCACGTGAATGGCAGCACTCAGGGAAGGTTTCCCAGCAGAACGTTGATGATCGATGTCAGTCAGCTGTGGTTTCATGTTATGGCTGATTGTTTACCTAACTGCTGTTTAGTTTCAATGTCTTGAATCCTGAAGTATGTACTTATATCAGGCCTTTATATATATAATCTATAGCACACTGCTGCTGTTAAAAAAACCCACAGTGCTGTTTTGTGTTTTCTAGATAGTATGTTGGCGAGCTGCTCGCTGGTGATGACGCAAAAATGATTCATAGGTGTTTAAAATCTCACCTTAAATCTCACTGTGGCTGAAACTTGAGATTAATAAAGAAATACTGAATGTGGAGCAAACTGGTAAACAGGGAGAAGTGGTTTAATTAACAAGGGAGTGATTTCTGTCACAATCTAAGCGCTGTTGCTTGGCAATGTTCGGCAAAACTGGCAAGAGTTGCATGTTTTTTTTTGTTTTTTTCCCCGTAGCCGAGCAGATCCCTTAACTATGTTCTCAGAGAGCACTGTACATTTTTATCTTTGCAACGTTCAGCCGCCTGACATGATAAATGTAGTGTGCACGCCGTGTTGTTTTATATTCATACGTTCTCTCTCCTTGTGTCTCCCCGCAGTTCACTTGTGCAGTATCGAAGGAGACAGTGAAAACCACACCGCCCTGGACCTCAAGTTAGTGTTTCCCTCATAGTAACTTATAACATTACGGAGCAGGTAATCTATCATTCCTTACCAGCCGGCCCTCCTCTCCCTTCATTACCACCTGGATGAATGATGCTGTCAGAACCCGTCACCCCGACATCCATCCTCTCGCTCCGTGTGTGTGTCCCGTTGGTTAAACGGAGAGTTCATTATTCCAACAAAGCACCGTCATTAAACTCATAGCACTCCTATTAATAACATTGTTTAAGAGGGGATGCGTGCTTTCATTGAGCTTTTTTTTCGGTGTGGGGTGGCGTACAGTAGACATCGGTAGAGTTGTGATTCACAAATTGTGTCATCGCCGCAGAGTCAAACCTGCCTGTGTGTGTGTGTGCTGTTGTGCTTTGTAGTCCAGATGAGAGGAGGTTCTGTGTGTTCTCGCTGGCTGCGTCCACAGATGGCAAAGAGATCCTGGGAGGGTGAGCACAATTTATGTTTCAAGGCAGTGACTGACAGAGTTCAAACCAGCACTGAAGCCTCTTTCAGAAATGTAAATTGGAGCGTGTTCTTCTGCTCTAAGTGGAAGTTAAACGCAATGACGACGACGGTTAATATTAAAACAAAGCCCGTTAGGTTTAACGTGTTTTCTCAGCTTTTCTTCTCTTTTCTTTCAGAGCTAACGATGGCTGCCTCTACGTTTTTGATCTGGAGCAGAACAAACGAACGCTGAAGGTCAGTGTGCCTTTGAGTACGCTCGTGGTTTGTGCTCCCTTTTTGCTTTTACCCGTCTCGGCGTCCCGTCCACCGCTGTCTGTTTGGGCGCTATCCTGCGGTCAAGGTGAGCGCAGACACGGCGCAGCTAAAAGTGTGCCAGCTTACATAAAGTTTTACACCATCCTGCTGTCTGGTACAGCAGCACAGAGTCCAGTTCCACCCCGCGGTGGGACGGCGGGGGTTAAATCCACCTCCCTCCTCCTCCCACAGCCGCCCTCTGCGTAGAAGTCACCAGATGACCTCCACCATCTGCTCCACCACTGTCGTACGCTCTTCCTCAGGCTGTCCCTCCCATTACCCCAGCGTTGTGTGTGTTTGTGTGCTATTTTTTCCCTCCCTTCATGCGTGGAGCTTCTTACTATCACACACCTCATAAAAAAAGCAGAACCAACCATACTGCTGTAATTACCTGCAGTGTTTTTAGCTGGATGCTAATGTAGCCATGCTATCATGTTTGCAGTGGCTCTGTTCACAACTGGCATGGACCCTTACAGAACTCTAATATAGGCGTAGATGCAGCTGAGGTCCGATCTCTCAGGTTGCATTAGAAGAAGGTCTATGTTCACCTTCGTTCTTTTAGCTTTCTGCAAACATGTATCGGGCCTCCTCAGCTGACCTCCTCATGCCATTGGCTGCATTTGTCCACGAACATTCCTAAAAGCCCATTCAGCTATCCTAAGAGTAATTCAGACATCTACTGGCCATGGTCTAGAACTAGTCCATACGCTTTTAATTTCTTCGCCTCTTATTTAATTTGCGACAGATTAAGCAAAGAAACGCATCGGCGCCGCCTCCTCGTTAAAAACGGCGACGCATTTGAAGACAGAAATAATACACGTGGTTATTTCCACTGAGAGATGAGATGAGATCAAAGGTGGTCATTTGAGACGCATGTGGAGACGCGTTCTGCGCTGACATGTTTAAAGCTGCCCACTCGTAATCAGACCTCCCATCACGCATGTTACTGCCAGGTGTGAACAGGGCCGGTGGCGATGCTGCCGTTCTGAAGTTCAGGAGGTGTCATACTTATCTTCATCAAAAACCCTCTGCGTTCATTTTTTTTTTTAACCTTGGTAACATGTTCATATGTTGTGTTTTATTCGGTGGAATCATGAGCAGAATAAGCAGTCGGCACCATGGCTGAGCATTTTTCTCACAGATTCAGTCGTCTACGGTTTCACACGTAACAAACCGAAGACACCAGCTTGCAGGATGGCGCTCTCCTCTGAATCTTTTTATTGTCACGCTTCCGCACACTCGACGAAATTACAGTCTCGGCTTTCAGCAAAAGAAAAATTGCATAAATAGACTTCCGACAGAGGCTGCAAGGTGGATCAGTGGTCAGCACCGTGGCCTCACAGCTAGAAGGTCGCCGGTTCGCGTCTCGGTTAGAATCTTTCTGCGTGGAGTCTCCATATTCGCCCCGTGCAGTGTGGGTTCTCTCCGGGTTCTCCAGCTTCCTCCCACAGTCCAGAAACATGCTGAGGTTAATTGGTGATTCTAAATTGTCCGTAGGTGTGAATGTGAGTGTGCTTGGTTGTCTGTCTCTAAGTGTAGCCCTGTGATAGACTGGTTACCTGTCCAGGTGAACCTGCCTTCACCCTGAGTCAGCTGGGATAGACTCCAGGCCCTCATAGTGAGGATTAAGGTGTAGAGATGATGGATGGATGGACGTCTGACAACCAAGTATAAACAACAAACATGTGGGAGCCGCTGCATACGTCCGCGCCGCCATCTTGAGTTTATCTTCGTCATTATTCTTCCTCAGAATCAGGTTGAGGTTCAAACGTGTGCTGAACTACTTCAACACTACAACTTGTGTGGCTTGTTGTACTTTACCAGTGTTTGAGCAGAGTGGTAGGTTAGCTGCTGCGCTCCAGTAGAGAAAGGTGGAGAATTCATAGAGACGTTACATCGAAGTCATTTTAAGGCAAAGACAAATCATTTTAAAGGAAAAAAAAAATCTTCTCAATATGTCACTTTGATGCACTGAGATGAGTTTTTAGGAACTCAGTCAATGACCGGAGAGGGACTCGAGGTGTATTACGATGCTAACATTTGCTAATTGATGGCGCTGGAAGAAAACTCAGACGATCATAAAAGTCAGTAGAATTAATTCTAGCGGGACCATGAATACAAAATTTTATGCATCGATCTGCATAAAATTTGGACTGACTGACCAGCAGCCAGACCAACATTTCCACGTCTAGAGCGATGAGACTGAACACAGTCTTACTCGACTCCCTTTCTGCAGACTGGAGTCGTTTTGCAGCTACATTTCTACACAATATATAAACATTTACCTTCTGTATGATATTGATAAAGACCAACCTCTGTAAGGTTTTGAGCCATTGCACTGACACACACGTCCCTCCATCACTCAGTCAGTCCGTCCTGTATGGTCACATTTCTAAAGCCGTCTGCTGCAGACAAATGTACCGATAAAGTAAATGTCTGAGCTTCAGTGCGCTTCAGTCTTGCAGAAAATGGGTCTGCCATTACCGCTGTGCACGCACAGACATGCACAGCCACAGAAAGACTTTTTTTTTTACACAAACATGTGTATTCCAACCTTTCTCCCTCACAAAGGAAATCAGACACACACACACTCTGCACGGCAAACACTGACTCTCTTTCTTCGTCTGCCCTCGTCAGATTGATGCCCACGAGGACGATGTGAATGCGGTGGCGTTCGCCGACAGCTCGTCCCAGCTGCTCTTCTCTGGCAGCGACGACGCTCTGTGCAAGGTGTGGGACAGACGGACGCTGCGGGAGGACAGACCGCAGCCTGTCGGACAGCTGGCCGGCCACCGAGACGGCATCACCTTCATCCACAGCAAGGTGGGGGGTCGGAGAGACGAGCGCTGCTGCTATTTTATCACTCTGTCAATAAAAAGTTCCCCAAATACTCCCGTGTAGTTGGACGACGGGATGGGAGCTGATTAAATGACAATATTAGCTCAGCACTGTGTGTTGGTTTAACACTCGGCTTTGTTTTCTTTTGTTTTTCTTTTAAATCTGGTCATCTTATTCGCCGTGCCAGGGTGATGCGCGCTATCTGATCAGCAACTCGAAGGACCAGTCCATCAAGCTCTGGGATGTCAGGAAGTTCTCACCCAAAGAGGGATTGGCAGCTTCCCGCCTGGCCGTCACCCAACAAAACTGGGATTACCGCTGGCAGCAGGTTCCCCAGAGAGGTGAGCAGGGGAGGAGGAACGAGGAGGAGGAGGAGGAGGAGGCGGCGACTGGCGGGGAATGAGTCAGAAGCAGAGGAGACAAGGAATGGAAGTTGGAGGACGAGAGGAGGAGAGGTCAGACGGAGGGAGAATAGAGAAGGAGATAAAGATGAAATGACGTTATAAAAGAAGAGGGAGAGAGAAGAGGGCGAGTGACAGGAAGATGAAACGTCTGTGTGTGTGTGTGTGTGTGTGTGTGTGAGAGGGTAAAAGGATGTGACAGTAAAACTATGCATAGGGAGATGAGTGATTACCGTCACTAGTCAAAGGAGAGGGAAGGCGTAGAGGGGAGGTGAAGGATAGGAGCTCAGATAATGAGACGGAGTAGGGGGAGGGAGGAGGAGATAAAAACGTAGTTCTGCACTTTGGGCGGCTTGTTGTCGGTGTGTGTTTTGGATAACAGCAGCACGGAGGTCAGGTGAACTTGTAGAGGTTGAAAAGGGCGAAAAATTCTTGAAAAATCTCCAGAGAAAAAGTGCACTATTGTTTTAACTGCGTTGTGTTTGTTTACTCGCAGCCTTGAAGAGACACAAGCTGACCGGCGACACCTCGGTGATGACGTACCGCGGCCACGGCGTCCTGCACACCCTCATCCGCTGCCGGTTCTCGCCGGAGTTCAGCACCGGCCAGAGGTTCATCTACTCTGGCTGCTCCACCGGCAAGATCATCAGTGAGTCCCAGCGTCTGTGTGTGAACGTCGGTGTGTACGCCTGATTGTTGGTCCAACGCCAATCTGCTGTTTACAGTTTACGACGTGCTGACCGGCACGGTGGTGTCCAGGCTGTCGGGCCACGACGCCTGCGTGAGGGACGTCAGCTGGCACCCGTACGAGGACAACATCATCAGCAGCTCCGTGAGTGCCGTTAATGCAAAGCGTCCCGCTGGAATCAATGCGTAAAAGCTTCCCGTCACAAACATCACATTAAATCCTAAGACGGCCATTTTCAGAAGTTGTAAAGGGTCTTAATTGAGCAGCGTTACACCAGACAGTCTGAGAATCTGATACGTTTTCTGGTAATTATGAGGATTAAAGTGGACCATTTGCAGAAAAAAAAAAAAACTCGCATATTGCAGTAAATCGGACTTTTCAGCAGTTTCTCATCAGCCGAACAGGAAGTCAGACTCTTTTGTTTTTGCAAAATGGAAAACGGCATGAAAGCAGCAGCAGAAAGTGAAATGTTTTGACTACGAGAGGAGGCAAAGCGTCTTCAGATATGTTTCTATTAGTGGACAGACGTTACTGCCTCAAAGTTATTTAAGATAATTTCTGAAAACATGCATTTGAAGACGCTGATAGAATGTGGATGCCTTGAACACAGCTCGCTCTCTGCCTGACTAATGAAGTGCTGCTTCTTTTACACATGGCGTCAAAACCTGCTGGATGAAACTACAAAGATGGCGTAAAGCGTGCCGGCATCTCTGAATAGGTATCGCAGGATTAATTAGATGTGATCTCCCACCAGACGAGCCTTTTAGCACAATTAATAATAAAAATAATAATTGATCAGATTTATATGGTGCTTTTCTAGACACTCCACTACAATTGTAGCCACAGCTGCCCTGGGGCAGACCGACAGAGGCCTGGCTGCCATTCTGCCCCTCTGACCACCGCCTCAAACAATCCATTCATGTGCATTCACATTAGGCAAGGTGGTTGAAGTGTCTTGCCCAACCGTTGACCTTCCGATCATTGACCGACCCGCTCTACCACCTGAGCCACAGCCGCCCCCATTTAAAGAAATAATCTCCCTTCGTACTAGCGCTCCTCTAAAAGCTCATCACATGACTTTCTCGTGAGCTGGGTGTTCCTGTTCCAGGGTAAGAACGAAGCAGGAAGTTGGCTGAAGGAAGAAAACAATGGCGAAAGTAAGATCAGATTTCTTTGCTTAAACCGACAAGGAGACGGAACCGTGACTGAAAATGAGTCTCTCAGGCTTTACATCTGGGCTGGAGGTACCGACCCAACCTGCCGTAACCTCCGGTCCCAGCAGAACATCCCTCCCAGTGCTGACTTGTACAATCTAGCATCAGCCGTCTTTCAGGAAAGGGTAATGTGATATGGGCACGACGGATCAGCGAGGGCCAGGGGACGTAAACGAGCCAGTTACAGGGCGAACATGGGTGTTGGTGTCGTCGTTTCTAAAAGCTGAGAGGCTCGAGGTAGAACGGAGACAGCGGTGTGGCCCAAAGGCTCTGTTTTAGACACAAGAACAGTTTTAATGTTCTGTGTAAATGCTGCAGAAGTTCTAAGTTTCGTTAGCGTGGATGTAGCCTACAGAGAATATGTCAGTTTTATTTAAATAAATCCCAGAGTGCTGTGTGTTGCCCGACCAAGTTAACGCAAGTCACTGAAAAACTGTGGAGTAAAAAAAACCCTCTAAGGACTACAGGACAGCAGCAGAAGGTTCTGATGCGTTTGATTTAACTCCTGTGTTTACCTGTGACCCGGCTCATCCTCTGCTGTCGTGTGTCCACAGTGGGACGGGGCGGTCCGAATGTGGGAGCACAGACAGACTCACCCTCTGGAGGAGGAGAGGGAGCGGGAGAGGGACTGACGAAGGCAGAAACCCGGCGAGACCAGAGGAGACAAAGGAAACGACGTCGCCGCCGCAGACGGGGTGAAGTGAGCCCAAAACACAGGAGGGCAGTAAGCTCAGGCGGACCGGGAGAGACTCAAACGTTTTTTTAATTCAATGCTGGATATTAATGATTACAATTATAGCGTGGCTGTGAAGTGTTCCTTTGGAAGGCCTCGTCGCCTCAACAGCGTCCGGTGCCGGTCGGAGCACCGTGGGAGCGGGTCGCGGCCCGCTTCTGTATTTCCTTTGTTTGTTTTTTGCCTCACTGTCTTGCGCAGAATCCGCAGGCCGAAGCTTTTGATCCGGGCCTGAAACACATCCCTTAAAATGTGCTGAAGCTCAACGCGCTAAGCACCGCACTTAATGAGCTACAAAACGTAATGATAGGCTAGCGATGTAATGAGCGGGGTGTGGCGGGGAGGACGCCACCACGATCACTTTGTATAAATGTATAGTATTTTAATGGTATGTGCATTCAGGGAGCGTCTCTAGGTAGCTGTCAGTGTGCTGATTTGGCATCAGTTTGACTCTGCTGTTATGAATAGCACGAGCTGCGTCCGATTTTAGGGGCCGCCACGTTTTAAGTCCACATTTAAAGATCGAGTATATAATTATTCTGTTCATTTCTAGACTCCTAATCCTGGTAATCACGTAACTTTCACACGTTCTCTGTGGCCGACTCACATGTCCAGCACGCTAACTGGACCAGCCCTGTTCTGGTTGTAACGTTGAACGCTCTGGTTCCTGTTCAGGCCTAACGGTGCCACTCCTGCATTCAGACACAGCAGCGCTCTGAGGTCTTATTACTGGTCCTGGATCAGCACTCAGTTTCTACAAACACAGGCGTTGATTTAAGAAGTAATCTTATCGGCCGATTCAAAGCTGTGATTCGTGTAAAAGATTCAAAAGATCACATGACGGGACTCGGGGAAGAGGCTGGAGGTGGTTCAGAAGCTCCACACTGATCTGTTTATGCAATCTTCAGGTGTTTATACCAAAACCCACACGTCACTCTCAGACCGTTGTTTTACAGTAACAATAAAAACCTTTCTTTAAATGTACCACAAACGCTTCACGCTGTTTTTTTTTTTTTATAATAATCGACTCTTTCGGGTTTTAAACATGCAAAAGTTCCACACAGATGAAGATTCACGCCTTGTTTACGGCGAGACGGGACGCATCTTGTCCATTTTATGTGCTGAACTCCGGCTGCCAGATATCCATTAGCCTGTAGCGCGCTCACACACACACACACACACACACACACAGACAAGTGACAATTATCTGCTATGGGAGCCGTATCAAAGTTGCCTGAAGGTCATTGTAATGACAGCAATGCAGTAAGTGCTCTAAAATTAGACCGAGATTCTTTGGCATGTCTGGTTTCATTTACTGTTCCTGCTTAATGCAGATTTATTTCTCATAACGGCCTCCCGACACCACATTGGTGGATTGTAGCGCAACGTTCCAGTTTGAATACTTAAAATAGTGTTTTTTCATTAATTAGGAAGAGGAGCTTACAGTGTTTAGTAGTTTTAAAGAGCTCGTATGAGGTTTTTTTTCAGTTTTCCCTGTCTTTAGTTGGTCTATAGTTGTTTATTTGTGCATAAAAAACAAACTTACGGCAGCAGAAGTCGACGCTAAACGCCTCCTCAGCTCCTAGTTTAACACAACCTTAAAGCTAGCGAGCAGTGTTTCCACAGAACTGTCACGCAAAGTTTTGAAACGCCGCAAAAACAATTAGTTTCTCCTTCAAGTGTTCCGGAGCAAATAAACCAGGCTGCATAATTTATTTGTAAGTAGCCTGTTGTATAGATGACTTAGACTGACTTTATTCATCTCAGAGGTGTTACAGCAGCATGACTGTTCAACAAAGGAGGTAAACAAAGCAAAGAGACAACTCAGAATATTAGAGTATAAAATGAAGGTAAAATTAAATATAATATAGAAGAAAGTAAACTAAATTTACAAGAATATATGAGAGAGATACAAAAATGTGCAAATGATAATGTGCTATAATATGATATAATAATCATAATAATAATAATAATAATAATACGCTGCTTAGATTGAAGCATGAAGGAGTCTTTTTGCGGTCGGGAGGAAAGACGACCTGTAACTTTACTTTACACATGGCTGCAACAATCGGTTAAAAAAAGCCAGAAATAAACCAGCTGTTTGCCAACCGCTAAGAAAACTCAAAGAAGAAGAAGAAGAAGAAGACACAAAAGGAACTTTGGGTATCTACGAGAGAGAAATGGAGAAAAGTCTTGAGGAAGTGGGAAAGCTGTGATTATTCTTTCATATTAGACAATGAAGGAAGTGAACAGCTGATCTGATCTGATGTGAGTTAAATGATCAACAAGTGTTTCTGTCTCCCATGAAGCACTTTTTAAGAAAAACAAGCAAATGTAAAAAAAACCTTTTTGGAGAATTTTTCCGTCTTCTTTTGCCTTTTCCGTTAACTTTGTTTTTTCTTCTAATGCCTCACATTAAATTAAATTCATATGCAAATACTCAGGCTGCAGGTGTCTTGGTGGTTAGCATCGTCGCCTCGCAGCTAGAAGGTCGCTGGTTTGCGGACACCCGGGATCTTCCTGCGTGGAGTCTCCATGTTCGCCCCGTGCAGCGTGGGTTCTCTCCGGGTTCTCCGGCTTCCTCCCACAGTCCAGAAACATGCTGAGGTTAATTGGTGATTGTAAATTGTCCGTAGGTGTGAATGTGAGTGTGCTTGGTTGTCTGTCTCTAAGTGTAGCCCTGTGATAGACTGGTTACCTGTCCAGGTGAACCTGCCTTCACCCTGAGTCAGCTGGGATAGACTCCAGTCCCCCATGGCCCTAGTGAGGATTAAGGTGTAGAGATGATGGATGGATGGATGAAAATACTTCCCCACCAGAGACACTCATTCTACGGCTACATCTCTCTGCCTGGACTCATAGATCTGAGATGATAGAACATAACCAACGTTACCGGACTTTGGTCACTGCAGCTGACCAATCAGAGCAGACCGGACTTTCAGGTGAGGCGTCTTAAAGAGACAGGAGCTAAAACGGAGTGTTTCAGAGAGACGATAAGAAGAGGAGCCGCAGCAACGTACGACGCAAGTAAACATGTTCCAGCCGAGCCAAGAAATAATCTGATAAATCCGTAGATGTGCATCATATGTGCTCCTTAAATGAAAGTTTGCCTTTTGATCACTGACAAGGCAGAAAACAGTGTTAAAGCTTCACTCCTTACATGTTGTGTTACATTAAAAAAAAAAAAAAAAACAATGAACTAACTCTGAGTTTGGATCAGGAGTCCATCGTGGTCGGAGCACCGGTGCCCTGGCTGGTGAAAACAGCACCAGTCCACTTTTATTGAGCATGAATCCCACGGAAAGACTAAATTTAGTCCATTTGTCTGTGAGGGTTGAAGAGGTTTAGGAGGCTCTGGCCTGAGGACTGGGCCTGGAAATGAAAAAGACTCAAAGTGCTGCGAGGAACGCAGCTGTTAGCGGCGCCAAATGCAGGCTGGCATCAGTTTATAACTTAAATTAGTTTTGGCTCCAACAGCTGATTCTAAGTATGGAGAGACGGAGAAGCAGCCAAATCATCCATTTTATCTCCGGAGCATTCTGACATAAAATGGAGATGCAAATGTCAGCGAGCAGCGTTGCATCACAGCACCGACTGCAAACTGTTTTAATTTCAAGCCGCTGGTTCAGTTTCGTGTCACCGACATAAATGAACACGTTCATGTCTGGTGTTTGAGCACTGCTTTGAAAATAATGGGGTCAGTTACAGCAGCAGCCATCTCCTGTTTCAGCCTGTGTTCTGAGGGGGGATGGGTTTGGAGGGTAAAGGGGACAGAGGAGTTGTATTTTTATAAACCATGTGCTCTCCAGCATGCCTGACGGTGAGAGAGTGGAGCTGCTGTGTCTTCCACAGACAAAAGAAACTCCAACAGGGCTCCAGCCGACACAAAGAGAGGACAGGAGGACATCTGTGAAAGTTAAATAACAATAAGAGGCGTCTCGGAGAAGACAGACGGGCCGAATCAACATGGATCTGAAGGCTGAGGACTCCTCCACCGGCCTCGCGTCAGACATCAGCCTGCAGAAACTACAGAGGATGGCCGCGGAGCTGACGCTGCCGGGAAGATTCATCGTCAGACTCCTGAACGCCGCTCTGGAGTTCGTCACCAACTTGTTAGCCGGAGTTTTAGGGAGCAGCCTGGTCAGGAGACATTTCCACCTGATGCTGTCGGGCCTCGTCCTCTTCGGGCCTTTGCTCAGTTTCTGGGTTTCAAAGTACAGCATCTTTGCAAACAGCAACCACTACCTGTACAGGTGAGAGGAGGACTTCATGTGCTTTATGTATTTTATACAAACAGCTGAAATCAGTGACGTTGACTCACTTTGTCCTGAATGAGCGTCCTGAAGGAACCAAATGTCACAAAACTCACCTGTTGCCTTGAGTTTAGAGTTTACAGCCACAAACAGGAATCTGTTAGCTGCTTATTATGACTTTAGACTGGCTCAGGCATGATTTGATTTATTACAAAGTCAGTGCATTACAGATTGCAAGAGCAAATCAAAGTACAGAACAGCAGGCCGCCTTTACTGCCGTGTGTTGTGCAGAGTACAACAAAGTTGGAGGTTGTGTAACTTTGCAGTCATGTTACTGTTTCTAAATGTGCTAAAAATAACAATTATTGCACAAAACTGAATGAAAATTATTGCACAAGAATAAAAAAAAAACAGAACTAGAGAGCCGTGAGCCACTGGTGCACTGTTTGTACAGAAATACAGCATGAAAGGAAGAATTAATTTAACATATTTTTGATGCTGACGTCAACCAACTGATTTATGCAGCTTCACTGGTTCATGTTTTACTGACCTGTGTGCTCCCATGGTGCCATGTGGAGGCCAAAGTCAGACATGTGTTCATTCATCTGTCACGCTGTTTTTATTTAATTTTAATTAGTTATTAAATTATTGAGCTTTATTTTATTTTTCAAAAACACACCACACAGAGCTTTTATTCTACTTTTTGTCTTTAAAAAGTGGTATTTTACTATATTATAATAATGTTAATCTGAATCATGGCGCCTTTCCTGAAGAAACTGATGTTTAGAGGTTATACAGACAAATTTATTCATAGCCTCCCATTAAAGAAGGAAAAAAACAGCTTCAGTCACTGAAATAAGGTGAAACTGAAAAAAGTAATAATGAATAAAAATTTAATGAACATCATGATGTTGCTTTGAATTGTGGTTCAACAGAAATATGAACACAAACAAACAAACAAACAAGCATGATGGGACCCATAAACTACTATTTTAGTTTTAAGCCAATCACTGCCATCAGGTGCTCTAATTTGTCCGGGACAGGATTGTTTTTTTTTTTTTTTAATTATTCTTTTCAACCACAGTTCAAAAGCAACGTCTTATTTCACTAAATAATAATTCAGCAAATTTTTATTTTTTATTACTTTTCTCATTTTCTAGTTATTTGAGTGACTGTCGTGAACTTTTCCTTTTCTTTAATGGACGGGATGAAGACGTCTGACTGTGTCGACACCTCGTCTGTCTGTGGTTCTGTTGTCGTGCTGTATTTAAGATCTGAGTGTTGATAATCACACATGTTCTGATCAAACCCTCTCACAGGAAGTTCCTGAAGTCCACCTGGGGCTGGACCTGCACCCTCACGGGCTCCTTCGTCCTCCTCCTCTCCCTCTCGGCCCGACACCCCCCCTCCCTCGCCCTGCGCCACCTCTCCCGGGTGGGGCTGGTGGGGCTGCTGTGGTGGGGCTGCCGGCGCCTCCTGACCCTGCTGGAGGACGCGGCGGGGACCTGCTACGAGCCCATGGCCGTCGCCCAGGACGCCCAGAGCCCCGCCTCCCCCGCGCAGCCTCTGCTGCTGCTGCATGAAGACCAGACCAAGGCCTCCTGCCTCAGAGCCAACATGCTGTGGAGAGGCTACGAGGTGTCCCAGGACGTCCTCATCCTCTGCCTGTGCTGCCTGCTGCTCGTGGAGGAAATGTGCGTCTTCGGTCGCCACCTGGCCCGAGGGAAGCCTCTGCAGAGGTCGCCCGGCGCCCCGTTGAGACTCGTCTTCCTCCTGTGTGCGGTTCTGCTCGTTGTGTGGTTGTTCCTGCTGCTCTGTTTGCTTGCATACTTCCCCAGCTTCCCGGCCCAGCAGCTGGGAGGAGCTCTGGGCTACCTGGGCTGGAGAGGACTCTACCAGGGCTGGTACCGGCTCAGACCGAGCTGGGGCTGCCCCGGTCTGCCAGGAGACGGGCTTTTTACCACCACAGACACCGACAAGCAGCCTCAGTAGGGTGGCATGCTTCACTAGATGAGTTGTGTTCTTTAAAGCTCAGGTCAAAATGTCAGATTTAAAATTCCCACAAAATAAACAGAAGCCGACTCAGGAATCACGTTGCTTTATTTTGTAATCTGAACCACAATGCAGGCGCAGGAATAAAATGAAGACATCAGGTGTGCTGTTACTGGATGAGAGTGTCATACTACACTTGCTGTAGCTTGTTTAAAAAAAAAAAAAAAAAGAAGAAGCCTGCAAGTGTGCCGGAGTCGTCTCAGTAGATGAGAGCTTTGCCGTCTCCTCTGGGCTTCATAATCTTGTCGTAGTTCTTGGTAATGATGTCAAACAGCACAGCCTGGAGAGAGGAACAAAGACAGTGAGCGTAACGCAGCAGCAGACGGCAGCTGATATGTAGAAAGATATAAGAAAGACAGACAGCGAGGTTAGAGAGAGCCATAAAGGAGATACGGAGCCGTAATCTCCTCCAGCAGCTCCTTTCATCATCACCTGTAACGCCTCGTTCATTAGCGGCATCAAACGCGGGAGGACGACGGAGAGACGCGAACTGATTAATGGACGGGAGACGGAGCACCAATCAATTTAACACAAGCACAGCAATTAGTTTAATTACCCTCCTATTAGGAAGGAATGGATTCCATTTAGCCTCCGTCCCCGCTGCTCGGACACGCCTGGAATATTTTACACGCGAGAGAATCAAAATACGGCGCATGATTGCACCAGATGGTGTGCTGAGCGGGACGTTTACAGTGTTTGGATGACGTGCAGTCAGAGAAACAGCGCTGAAGAGGCCTCACGGTAACAACAGGGCCGCTCCCTCTCCTCTGTCCTCCGGCTGTGACCCAGAAATTCTCAGTCTTAGTTTCTAAAACGCGAGGACAGAGGAGGCTTATCGGAGGACGCACAGGTGTCACCTGCTTATGAAGGAGGTGTGCCACGCCTCCAGTACGTTCTCGTCACATTATCGTAATGTATGTGCTGGAAGCTGTCATGAACGACGTCGTCATAGAAAACAGCGACGGGCCGAAACAAAGCATCGAACGGACGATGCAGCTGCTCCACTCCTCTCTCCTCACGTCTCTTTTGTGCCGATCACATCTCTGCTCGGGGACAAAGGGAGGAAGACAAAAGGAGAGGATGTGAAGACGAGAGGTGGGCGTCTTACGTATGTGTTGCAGATGTCCAGGACCACCAGGCGGAGCTCAAAGAACATATACAGGTCCAGCTCGTGAACCTGCTGTCTGTAGTCTCCCTGCAGCAGGAGACACACAAACAGAGAGTTTAGAAGCAAAAGAATACACACAGTTAATACACACAAACAAAACGTGTGACCTTTATGTTGCTACATCATTGAATCTGTGCACATTGACAGAAACACCAGATACTGACCACGTGGGGCATTTTGGCGGCTTTGCCCACAGCGTCGCCTCTATCGCTGTAATGTCTGATGGAACAGGAGCACAGAGGAGTCACACATCATTCAACCATCAACAGGACACACAACAATCCCTAAAACCACTGAATGCATGCGATCATCTCAGAACCGTCCAGAACTCTCGCTGTGCGTTTAGTTAATTTGCTAACTCGATGGCAGGAGGAAGGTCGGGTTCCTTCTTGTCTCAAATGCTGCATTTTCTCACTTAGAAATGTACCGCTTACTGCGTTTCCTGCTGCTGACAACACTATAAATAAAAAGCCCATAACGCCCCGTGGATCCATACAGGTCGTCAGTTATTGTGGATAATTACATTTACCTCGGGGTGGGATACGTGCGTCTACACAATAGGAAAGTCATGTTTTACCTCACCGAGGAGTGTTTTTATTGCTTGCAGCCTATTTCCCTGCGTCGTAGGGGTCTAACTGCAGTCATTATGCGTCGGGCTCTGAGTGCTTCTGAATCACAGGTGACCTACAGCTCGCTGAACGCATCCCGTTTGGATAGCGGAGCTGCTAATGTGCTGCTTCTGTGCACACGCCGTCCAACAGCTCAGACTCCTGCTTCACGGCAGCTTTTGGGGCAAACTTACAGCTTCTAGCATAACCTGATGGAGCCGAGAGGAGAGAACAAGAGGAAGGACCGCTAACATCAGCTTGTGGGCGACTGCATTCGTCACATACTTATAAAAATGTACTACCGTAATCTCTAGACTATACGCCCCTACAGTTTTCACACTGCGGCTTAAACAATGCTGCTGCTAATTTAAGGATTTTTATGAATTTGTGACATTAAGAGCGACAACGAAAGAGGAGGATGTGTGTGACGAAAGAATTCTGAGGCTGTTCAACGCCGACATTGAAGAAAATGACTTTACCGTAAATTCCGGACTATTGAGGCACCTGAATATAAGCCGCACTTTAAAAAGAAAAGTAGTTTTGTACAAATCCAGGCTGCACTTGTCTCTAAGCTGCAGGCGTCCACGTTGGAACATGAGATATTTACACAGAAAGATTTGTTAAACTTTTAATTAGATACGTACCGTAGATGCTTTTTTCTGAACACTTCCTGTAACACGGCTGGTTAAGGAAATAAAAACTGCAGCAGCTACCAGGAAAAGTCACTGATCGCTATCTTCATCTTCCTCCTGCACTAAAACCACTCCGTCATCATCAGGTTTTGCCTACGGCCTGCTCTCAGCCCTGACTGTCGACTAAATCGTGTGTCCAGCAGCCGGTTAAAGTCTGAGCCATCCAGCATTGTCCTCCTCGCCTGTGCAATCTACACCCAGGACCTTTTCAACATTTGTCCAGGTCCTCTTGGATGTTCACTTGTCGAGCAACACCTGCTTTTGCAAGGCATTGTTCTCCATGCGACACACGTGGGCCAAATACTTCAAGTCTTGTTCAAGGCAAAAATCCCTCATATGACCGGCGTTGGTGATATCCTGCAGTTTCTCGTTCAACATCTTGTAAGCCCAACTGAGCTCCTGTTCGACTTGTGAAGCTGGATCTACGGCGTTCTTTCGCTGGGTGCGAGTGGGAGCGTTTTTCCTGACGTATCCCCCGGTCGCCATCTTTCTCAGGAAGCCATTCCGCACATTCTCGATCTTTTGGAGGTCGGCTGCTGACCACTCGTGAGTCTGGATTCCATAGCAAACACGATCGCACGCACGCAGTCGAATGTTGAAAAGGCGTTGTCATATATAGCGAGGATTTGACCGAGCTCTTCGATACTAGTCGTCTTCTTCAGTGTCTTCAGGAGCTGAACAGTCTCAGAATCACTTCATCACTTCCTCAGTCTCTCTGTCGTCGTCGCTCTCAGCCTCACTTTGGTCTCGAGGCAAATTCATAAAACTCGTGAAAATCCATAAATTAGCCGCATCGTTGTTTAAGCCGCAGCGTTCAAAGAAAAAAGTAGCGGCTTATATTCTGGAATTTACGGTAGTGGTTTTCGTGTTCAGGAGGAAGATGAAGATAGCGATCAGTGACTTTTCCTGGTAGGATGCTGGAGTTTTTATTTTCTTAACCAGCCGTGTTACAGGAAGTGTTCAGAAAAAAGCATCTACGTATTTGTGTATGTTACCGGTATGTGTTTAATTAAAGGTTAAATAAATCTTTCTGTGTAAATATCTCATGTTCCAATGCCTGCAGCTTATAGACCAGTGCGGCCTGGATATGTACACACCTGGTTTCCTGTTTAAAGTCAGTGGGTGCAGCTCAATAGTCCGATCACAGTGTTTCGTGGTGGATTCTTACTTTGCCACCAGAGTCTGGAATCCTTCGACCTTGGTGCGTGTGGCGATCAACAACTCAAACACTTTCTCCTGTTGGGCGAAGACAAAAACAGGAAATTCAGCTCGATAAATGTCACTCCAACACAAGAAAATCTATCTGTCTGCAGTTTGACCACAACATTAGCAGCTACCGACCTGCACAGCCACTCCGAAGTTGTTACCGTCTTCGATTTTGGGGATTTTGAGTTGCACCCACATCGACACCTGCCAGAACAAAACTGCATTTGTCAATCACTGTAAAGTTTGGCAAAGTGGTCCTGCAACTAAAACACATCATTAATAAACAATGCATTCCTGACACATGTGCTGCACTCAGAAACCTCCACATTAAGACTGACTGACCGTGTTGAGCTTCTCCTTCAGCGTCTGGATCTCAGGTTTGACCTGCTGCAGGAGACGCTCCACTCGCTCGTTGGTGCAGATGGGACCACAAGGAGGCCCTGGAGGAGAAATGATGGAGTCGGTCACGATATCAAGTAACTGGCTTCACGTGCTTCAGAAGAAGATTTTCTTTTCAAGATTGGACAGACAGTCGTCTTTAAATGTATTCATATCCTCAAATTAAAGAATAAACATCTGAAATAAGCTGAAATTGACAAAAGTAATAATAAATAAAAATATAATGAACATCATGACGTTGCTTTTGAATTGTGGTTCAACAGAAATATTTTTTAAAACCAGCAAACCACCATGTTGGGACCCGTAAACTACTATCTAGCTGAACAACCCTTTGAGCCAATCACTGCCATCAGGTGTTTCCTGTAACTCTCAGTCAGACTTCTCACCTGTTGACAGGTGTTCTGGACCACTGCTCATCAGCAAAGGCCTCTCATTAGTCTGGGACAGTTTTGTTTTTTAAAATTATTCTTTTCAACCACAATTCAAAAGCAACGTCTCATTTCACAACATTATAATTTAGCAAATTTTTATTTATTATCACTTTTTCCAATTTCTACTTATTTGAGTGACTGTTGTGGATTTAGCCTTTTCTTTAATGGACGGGGCTGAATACATCTGAGGACGACTGGTTCACTCACACTCTTCTTGTCACAAACGATCTAATTAACGTGTGAACGCTGATTAACCCCGGTTAGAATCCTCAGTTTTAATATTAATGTTATGAAACAGCAGCAACGTCCTACATATGAGGTTCTCTCAAAGGGTTTGTAGCATAAGACAAACCTTGCATGGGTTAACCGTATCATTCACCTGTAATCAGCGGTTTATCGCTCGTCATCGCCATCTCTGTCTTTACCTGAGTCTTCGTCCTCTTTATCGCTGTCCTTGTCTTTCTTGCCCTCCTTAGCCTCCTTCTGCAGCAGAGGAACAGAAGGCATCGGGTCACAGAGTTTTACCTGCACATTAATCTCCCCGGACAGCTCACCCACTTACTTCTTTTTTCCCCTCTGGACAGTTAAATGTACATGTCAAACGTTAGGTTTTTATCTTTGCATAGTGAACGTAACCCTGCTGCATCGGCGCCTCCAGAGTTCATCATCACAAACATTCTGCCTGCCCTCCTCTAAACCCCTGTGTGCAATATGCCAGCAACTGTCGAAAATGAAGAAGATCTATGGATGAAAGCCGGATAAAATATATGATAAAAAAAAACCTGCTTTACAGTCTGTGATGATTTTTGCGCCGCACGAAGCGTCTCGAGCGTTTTTATTAAATGTGAAATACGTGTGAAATCCACAGCAGATTGAAGCATCACTTGAGATTTTTTTTTTAAAAGATCAGCCGGCATAAAAGGCCCACTCACTGACAGTTTGTAAAACAGCCCTTGGAAATTGCGCAGTGATTGGTTGCCATGGTGACCGGGGACTCGGTTTCAGTGCTCACATAATGAAGCACTAAATATAAACCGAGCCGAGGACCCCAGTCAAGAGGCTCTGCAGCAATCCTGAAGGAATCCAAAGGTTAGGAACATAAAACACACAAGGAAGTCTAGTTGTCATCAAATCCATCCTCAAACCTTCCTCTTAGTTTGGCAACAAACAAATAATAATTAGCTCTACTTCATGGAGTCATTTCAGATTTGTACACACCAGAGCTCGAGGCCCGCTCAGTGGAGACTCACCTCCTCCTTCTTCTTGCGTTTGGCCTCCTCTTTGGCTGGATCCGGTATCGGGATGTCCAGCGGTGCCTTCAAGGACGCCAGGTCATCGACGCTGAAAGATGTCTGACAGCAAACACGAGTCACACGGTGAGCGCTGTAGCTCACAATACGAGACACGACTCGATCAAGGTTGTCTCAGAGAACATTTTATAAAGACTACGTAAAATCTACGTTTTTACTTCAACATGTTCACGTGGTGGGCTGCCAGGCGGCTCGGTGGTCGCACCGCCGCCTCGCAGCGTCCCGGTGAGGACACCCGGGATCTTACTGCGTGGAGTCTCCATGTTCTCCCCGTGCAGCGTGGGTTCTCTCTGGGTTCTCCGGCTTCCTCCCACAGTCCAAAAATATCCATCCATCCATCATCTCTACACCTTAATCCTCACTGGGGGGCTGGAGTCTATCCCAGCTGACTCAGGGTGAAGGCAGGTTCACCTGGACAGGTAAGCAGTCTATCACAGGGCTACACTTAGAGACAGACAACCAAGCACACTCACATTCACACCTACGGACAATTTACAATCACCAATTAACCTCAGCATGTTTCTGGACTGTCTCTAAGTGAAGCCCTGTGATAGACTGCTTACCTGTCCAGGTGTCGGCTGGGATAGACTCCAGCCCCCTACGACCCCAGTGAGGATTAAGGTGTAGAGATGATGGATGAATGTTCAGGTGGGGTTTTTTTAATATGCTGGAACACCACAGCAGAGCATTTCCACCCTGATGCTACAACGTAATGACTCACATTTACATTTACATATATATAACTACGTTTAGGGAACCGGTTCTGCCAGCCTGCAGGGTGAGGCTGTCTGTAGGTTTAATCTTGTTTGGAATCCGTTTCCAGTTCAAACACGTATGGCTGAACCACTCCTGGGTCTCAACTTTGCATTAAAAAGCCTCGTATATGAGAGGAGACGACGGCGTAGATCTACATCAGAGCCACATTCAGGCATTATTCTCGAGAGAAAAATGTCTAAAACCGTAACTCTGACACACACAGATGAGTTCAACGGGTTAAATCAACAACCGGAGAGGAGGGCCTTCATAATCATTAATTTGGCTGAAGACCCCCCTTCAGGTTCAGGACCCCGGACCTCATCCAGTCAGATGAATACCTTCAGCAGCTTCTGCAGATCTTCAATCTTCTGAGGGAAAAATGTGGAAACCAGCTGTTCTGCCTGTAACAGGGGAAAAAAAAGAAGAGAAACTGTTCATATTAATGTGAAAAACAAATAATTAATGAGTCTGGGGAAACTTTTAGTGACTTATTACCTCCTTAGTGAGATTTTGGCAGAATTCATCCACCTGGAATAAAGAGGTGCACAGTTTAGGTGGTTTCATTTTCCGTGTTGTCAGTGCGGCTATATGAAGGATAATTAGCACGACGGTCACACAGCCGCTAATTAACGACCCGCTGCCCTCATGTGACCCCAGCTGTCGCAAAACACCGACTTATCTGAACACCAGCTCGTCTCTGAGCACAAACAAACCACAGTTTCTGGGTCAAAGCGGACCACTTCACACGTAGCTGTGCAGCCTTTTATGCTAGCAGACTGTTGCTCACCTGTTTCTGGGAGTCGAGGCGAATATCCACCGTGGCCATGTCGTCTCTGCGGAAGGAAAGTGATTTAAGTTCAGTGTGAGAAACGCTTTTAACGTAAACCGAGCAGCGGAGCGCAAGAAAAAAGCTCCTTAAATGTGTAATTCAACCCGCAGCTCGACACGCACAGACACTCACAGTTACTCAGCATTAAAAATGAAATCGAAAGTGGACCGTACTTTTCAGACAGTTCCGTACTTTCCCACTTTGAAGTCGAGCGGTCGCGGTGCATTGTGGGGCTAGTAGTTCTTTACGGCGCCCCGTTTCCGGTAACAGGCAGCGCTGAAGGGAAACGGAGTAGAAACACAAAACACAAATCTTCTGAAAGAAATGAGTCTCTGTGTTAGGACAAGCATTTTAACTGTCTGAGCATCTATGTCTGGTAACATAAAAGTGAAACTAACTAAAATTTAACATTTACAAATGATGCCTAATGATTAAAAACGTTTGTCTATCAGTTTGTATACATAATATATTACAATAATTATTAATATGTAAAGAAACTCATCTGTGTATAAAGAGAATGTCCCTAAATATTTGAAAAACAGCACCAGATATTGAAAAAGCAGAATGAATAAATTAAAAATAAATAATGCCTAAAACCAACAAATTCTGCTTATAGTTGTTAGCATATATTTATTATTAGGTATGATTTAAGAAGTGATTATTTATAATATATAAAGACACCTGTCCTTGTCTGAAAAGAATTTCTTTGCCTGATAATGAAAAATTTAAATTAATAAATGTTTGAAAACCAAACATTTATAAATAATGCTTTAAACTAATAATTTCTTTTTAATAATAGTAATTTTTTGTTCAGAGCATAACAGAGACACCAGATCCCCTCAGTGTAAGGGATCAGGAGCTCAGGTTTGTTCTTTAATCAGTCACCTGTCTGCATTTTAAAACCTTTTCCAACTTCTTCTGCAGGTAACGGCTGCGTCCATTAGGTGGTGCTGTTGCTCTAGGTGCAGTAAAGGCAGCATCTCTGAAACCAGCCACAGGTAACCGCTAATGATTAACAGCTGCTGAGCAAACACAGGCAGATAAAGGTGATTTGTTTTGTGACTGTTTTTAATCAAAATCACATGTAGAGCGTGAATGAACCGGTTAGCCTCGATGACACTTTCAACAGTTTTCCAAATTCTGCTCAGAAAGGCGACGAAGCTGATCAGTGTTTTAAATAAAATACGAAAAGACACGTGACCACGACACTGTGCAGAGCGCCACTTTAGCTCGCTATCGATCCCGAGCCAACGCCAGCGTGTTGTCCCGGCCTTCCAGGGATCTGCTGTCGTACGTCTGCTCTCGCTGCGTCTCTTTGATCAGGAGCTGCGTGGACGGAGGCGGCAGCCAGGTTAAAGTCTAAAACACATCCTGAGTGGACAGAAAGGACGTCAGAGCCTCCCATTGTAAACAGAGTCGTGTGTCGCGTAATCATACGCCAGCGTACTCTGTGTCAAGACTTCACCTGGTGAATCTGTCACGTCAAACCCTGACAGGAGATCGATAAACCCCCACAGAGGTGTTTCTAATTAGGTGACGACTTGCTGTTAAATCTTTGAGCTGCGTGCTCGTCGCTTCCTCCTGATTACTGTCACGTATAAATGTTTTAATAGCTGCTTGACCATCTGCAGTTTCGCACGGCGTCACAAAATGATGTTTACTCGTGATGTAACATCCAAGGTTGGATCCAAAGGGCAAAGGCTGCACTAGTTTACAGAGTGAGCACCATTAGTTATTGACTCCATGATTTGATTGGAGTGGGTGAGTGATTAAAACGGCTGCTCAGCTCGGGGATGCTGTTGAGAAACACTCCGGACAAAGACCAGAACGAGAATGGGAAGAGAAGACTTCAGGATGAGGCCGTGTCTGTAAATTATCTCACTGTACAGCGTTTAAAAAATTCTAGGATTTCTTCACAGTCCTGCACTTATTAACTGAGCGTATGCAGCCACATGCTCTCATGTCTGATTCACTGGCACTGAACCAAAAGTCCTCCTGTATAAGTCATGTACAGTGTATGGATGAACTTTGCTTTTGGATCTTTCTTTTAATGTGAGGGGCAACAGTTTTACTCAATCTGTTTTGTATTCTGAGTTATTTCAGACAACAGAGACTTCAATCCAAACCATATTCTGGCCTGTTAACAATTAGCATATGTGTTGCTATGAGCAAGACATGCTATTATCAGCAACATGAATCAAAAAAGATGCGTGCAGAATGGGTTAGGGTTATTGTTTTACTGTCGATGCTTGAGATGGAGCCAGTTTGAACCACTTCACGTACAGTTTTGTATGATTAGTGATGATTAGACTTGGAGCTGTGGGATCATTGACGGGGTAGGAAAAGGGGGAAAGTGGTTCCTGCTGCACAACTGTGTTAATTTTCTAATTTCTGTTTACAGTCTCTGATGTTCTGTGCAATATTTTTCCTTCTGGGCCTCAAACAATGACTTCGATGTGACCTTTGGAGAGGTTTGGGTCAAATATTAAAGGAAAAACCTGACATCCCAAAACGCTTCCACACAGGTGCACTGTATGGTACAGGTAAACATCCATCCATCATCTCTACACTGCTTAATCCTCACTAGGGTCATGGGGGGCTGGAGTCTATCCCAGCTGACTCAGGGTGAAGGCAGGTTCACCTGGACAGGTAACCAGTCTATCACAGGGCTACACTTAGAGACAGACAACCAAGCACACTCACATTCACACCTACGGACAATTTAGAATCACCAATTAGCCTCAGCATGTTTCTGGACTGTGGGAGGAAGCCGGAGAACCCGGAGAGAACCCACGCTGCACGGGGAGAACATGGAGACTCCCGGGTGTCACCAGGACGCAAACCGGCGACCTTCTAGCTGCGAGGCGACGGTGCTAACCACCGATCCACCTTGCAGCCCACAGTGAAACATTTAACATCCAATCCCGTTCTGTGGTACGTATAAAACTCCTGAGCAGACCCAGTTGATTCTGATTTTTACTCAGGATGGCAAAAGGAAAAGATCTAAGTCACTCTGTCAGAGGGTCCATTGTTGGGGCTCAGATGGCAGGAGCTTCAGTCACAACCACTGCTCAGCTGGCTCATGTTTTATTAGGAGCAGAGAAACAGACAATCAGCTCCTCCTGAGGCGACTGAACACCAGCGTAGGACTGTGACCAAGACCCGCCTGGTGACAATTACACAGAGAGGGATATTTTAGTTGGGTTGCACGACACAAACCCCTCATTACAGGAATGAATGCACATTAAGAGTTCAACCCAAAGACGCTGGTCTGCACAGATGTGGAAGCAAATGATATGGTCCGATGAGTCATCCTTCATCATATCTTGATGAGTGCATGTGTGGCGTCCTCTTGTCCTCTACGGTGAGAGGTTCTGGTGGCCATGTTAGACTGTGGGGGTCTGGTTTGGGTCCACTGGCTTCTTCTGAGGGAGAAGTCACTGCAACCTAATGTAAAGTTGTTCTGAGTAATCAGCTTCATCCTATGGGGAAACATTTCTATGCTGATGAGAGCGACCTATTCCAGGATGACAGCGTCTCAGTCCACAGGGAACTGAAAGGTCTGATGAGTACGGACGTGATGTGAATCATATGCTGTGGCCTTTACAGGACCAGATCTAAAACCAGGGCACCACTTATGGGAGGTTCTGTGCCACGACCGTCATCAAAACACCAACTGAGGGGATAACTTTGAGAAGAACTGCATCAATCCCTCCAGTACAGTTCAGAAACTTGGAGAATCATCGCCAACAAGTTGTCCTGGCTGCACATGATGACGCAACACCTTACTGAACTATACAGGACTGCTGCAAGTTTGGCGTTCACCGAAACCTGGCTAAGCAGCTATGACAGCCACAGGGGCTTTGGGACACCAATAAGGCTCCACCGTGACAGTCAGCTGACGGGGAACTCCCAGGAAGGAAGTCTACATCCAGCCTAAAGCAAAGGCAGCTGCAGCTTCAGCCCACATCAGGATGGACACGCTTAACAGATGGAATTCGTCCTTGGCAATTTTATGAATCTATTTGTTCATTTCTGTTTTATTTTTATGGTAATTCTTGTTTTTTTGATGTCTTTATATTAAATAGTCATTGAGCTTGAATGAAGACTCTTCATGGGTGGTCTGCTTCCGTTCTATCACCCCTTCATATGCATGCATACAGTACATTTATTCTCATCTCATTCTTTTAAGGTAAACATATTTAAAACGACCTTAAATGCAAAACTTGTGTCCCACAGAAAGCAGGCAGCATTCACCCTTCTTCTATCTGTTTCTTTAAAGTCAGTCAGCCTGAACATCGTTTGCATCTCATGGTTCAGAAAGTCCATTGGTTGTTTTCTTCACACTGTTTGCTGTCATTCAGACGGTTTCAGAAGGTTTGCTGGTGGCTCCTGTCCCACAGAAACATCTCAAGAGTTAGCTTCAAGTAACTACACATGGGCAGCCATTAGAAAACAAATAAGAATTAATTAAATAAGAATGCTGCCTCTCAAAGGTCACATATCAAATTACAGAAGAGCTCTGTTTGGTTGTTTTTCTAGGTTTTTTTCGCCCCTTGCTGGATGTGTGAATGCTCCCATTGACAGCCCTGGAGTGCAGCGGTGGACATACAGCATGCATGCATCACCTCCCAGTGAATGTGTGTCTGTGTTAACCATGTGTCTCTGCTGGGCTGCTGACTCTGCAGCGCCTATCAGGGAACACGAGGGCTGAAGTTTAACCAGCCTGTTGGACTCTATCTCTCTTTATCTCCTATCTACAGTATCTCCTTCTGCTCAGCCCACCGCCCTCCACTTCCCCTCGCTCTCACAGCTGAGTGAGTGCGTTACCAAAGAGAGGGAAAAAATAAAATAACAGGAAACACTTTCTTCAAAAAAAAACATTCGATTGAGCCGTAATGTCAGAACAAAGCCCGCTGAATCATGTCAGAAAGTAAAAACTAATCCGCCCACTCGATGCGCTTATCAGAGTTGTTAAAGCGATAACGACAACAACAGTCTCCCAGAAATCATCACACTATAAAACCATACATCAAAGACAGACGTAATCTCTGCAGCCTCCGAACTCAGCAGGAATCCGAGCAAACAAACGTGTAACATGACGTCAAACATTGCAAAACCCAACGTTTACCTTTCTGCCAGAGGTTTAATGATTTTTGGTTTTTTGCTTGAACGACAGCCAGTTTTGTGTCTTTTGGTTTCAGGATGTTTGAACGTCTGTTTAGTTTATATTTAATTATATTAATTGGAGCTGATGAATCAACAAACTGTGACATATCTACTGCGCCCCAGATTCAGGGTTTTATCTTGGTCTGCGATGACGCTTCACACTTTTAAGGCGCGTTTTCAAGACAATAATCAGAAGATGATGAAGGATATTAGATCACTGAAAGGGTTAAACTTTATCATGTAATTCACCATTAGCTTGAATTACCTTTGGACTTGACCTTTGACCTTTTTCTGATCATCAATTCTTGTTTTATCATATTTTATCAGACATTTGTTTAACATTCTTGTCATAAATAATGTAGGAATTCTTGAGTTCTCTCCAAAACATTGTTTTATGAGATCAGTGACTGATGAGCATCGAGTTCTAACCGGTTCATCCTTGAATCCAGGTGAACATTTGTTAGAAATTTAAGGAAAGTCGGTCGTTGAAGAGAACGGGACGGACAAACAACTTAACGTAGGTCTGGCTGTTGATGGCACAGAGGCATGGAAATGGAAAACAATTGTCAAAATATTAAACTGATTATTGCCTCATAATAACTTGTGCTATTGTGACTCAATGGTGTTGTAAAGACAACACGCAGAACAACTAATAAAACTGAAATTCATTAACTTCTTTAAGAAAATATATTGTTGACAGATGTAAGAAGTTTTTTTTTCTAATTACTTCTGAAACTTTTTTTCATTTCTAACAACCATGAGTTTGAAACACAGGAACATGATGTATAGGGGAAGAGGCAATAAAGTGCCAAGGAGTGAAACCATAATACTGTACGAATAAAGATTTGATATAAAAACAGCACAGGGATCCATTTATTCTATAAAATTTAATTAATATGTAGGAGGAGAGAAAATGGAGAAAATGGAGGAGGGCATATATAGCAGAGTAGCGCTGGGTATAATAAAGCAGGCAGCTCTGGATTAAAGGGCCGATGCACACAGGTCATGAAAATCACTGCGTAACGTCCTCTGAGGCTCTGAAGGGAGTTTTCTAAAGTTTGAAAAACCGTCACGATTAATGATTCATATTAGGGAACAAATCTTTTGGGTCAGACAGAATGTGCAGGAATACGCTCACTGGGTGAGTGATTAAGGTCACGGATTTGTTTGCAGCGAGCGACTCTGTTGTGCAATCGGAAAAACAGGTAGATGAAGATGTTCTAGTGATTCATTCTCTGAACAGAACACAGAGTGACAGCCAGCTGCTCAAACTAAGTCAGGCCCAGAAAGTTTAGGGGTAATATCAAACGGTAGAGCAGCACCAGAGACTTAAAGTATAACTGAAAGCCAGTCGTCACTTCTGTTATTCAGTGATGAAACTTTTAAACTATCCGGATACGTACACAGGCAAGAGCGACAGCACCTCTGGTTCTGAAAGTCAGGGATCATGAGAAATACTGCGAATCAATATAAAACTGATGGGCGAAGGACAAATGTTATGACTTCCCCAATAATTAATTATCATTAATATCTAAAGATAAAAATAATGTCACATCACGAATCACTTGGGATGCTTAGCATACAGTAGCAAGGAACTCAAGCCAGATCGTGCTACAGCATGCTAATATAGCAACAATATTAGCTTAACATAATGTAAGCAAGGGCTGCAGGGTGGCGCAGTTGGGTAGCACTGTTGCCTCGCAGCAAGAAGGTCGCCGGTTCACGTCCTGGTGTGGAGTCTCCATGTTCTCCCCGTGCAGCGTGGGTTCTCTCCGGGTTCTCCGGCTTCCTCCCACAGTCCAGAAACATGCTGAGGCTAATTGGTGATTGTGATCTACGT